TTGGTTTGTTCAGCCTGAAGGAGAGTGAGGAAAGACCTCACTGCAAGTACTGATCTCTTCTCTCTGTGGTGACCAGTGATGGGACCAGAGGGAATGGCCTGAAGTTGTGTCAGGGGAGGGTTAGGTTGGATATTAGAAAGAGATTCTTCACCCAGAGGGTGGTTGGGCACTGGAACAGGCTCCCCAGGGAAGTGGTCACAGGACCAAGCCTGACAGAGTTCAAGAAACATTTGAACAGTACTCTCAGGCACATGGTGTGACTCTTGGGGATGGTCCTGTGCAGGGCTAAGGGTTGACTCGATGATCCCTTGTGAGTTCCTTCCAACTATATTAACAGTGTTGTTGACTTCTGGATTAATCTTAGAAAAAGCAATGACCTGTCTAAAAGATGAATGCAGTTTTCCTTGAGAACTTCGTGTTTTTTTCAAATTTTTCCAGGTATCAGCACCTATAAAAAATGGCAAAGTGATCAGAAGAGTAGGTTGTGGGGTTTTATAACGTATCTAAAATTAGGAACTTCAAAATGTGTTCCCACTGTCTTTTTGTGTTTATCTCCAGGCTTTCTAACTAAGAAGGATTCTTCTTGTTCTCATAACGCTTCTAATAGTTAGACAGGATTATTTTACAATCTAAGTTTGCTATGCTGAAGTAAAGATTTGAAAAGATTGGGAAATTGTGTGGTCCGTCATTTGTGTGGTATTTTAAGTAGTAGACTATTTCTCAAAAAGGGTTTTGAAATAATCTGAGTGAATTTATAAAGTGTTTGTAATTCTGTCAGAATCGGAAGGCTGAGGACTGTAAATTTTCGCTTGTTAAATAGCTAGCTTGACCAATGGCAAATGAATAGGCTCAAAGGTTAAAGGCAATGGTTCACTGAACTCTATAGCAGACTGTATGAGGCATGTTTCTAATGTTACTGAGCTGTTTAGCTGACCTTTTCATCTTTTTTTCCCTCTTTTAGCAGTGGAGAATGTTTTCCATTCATGCACAGTCAGTGACTGGAGAGGCCCTACACACTTTATTCATCACGAAGTAGAAATGGAAAGGAATAGCACAACTTCCTTACCTGTTGCACGTCAGGACATAGTTTTATGTGTGGAGAGGTGTGATGTTTTTTGTGACTCTTGGTGGTAATGACAACATTTTGTTCCATTATTTCATGGTGGAAATAGGAGCTCCTCTTAAAATAGTATGTATTTTTAAAATAGAATGCATTTTAAAATGTTATAACATCAAAATATTGTGTAGCAATATTCTCACTGTTGAGTGTTCTGCTGGAAGATAATAGTGACTAGTGACTGGCTTTGAACCTCTTAAGAGGAAGCTGTTCTTGACTGGTAATAATGTCCAGTATCTGTCAAAAGGAACCACAACAGAGGCAACTTTTGCTCACCTACTTAGCTTGAGGACTTGGCGGGTCTCTTGTACTAAACAGGTTAAATCTGATCTGTATATTAATGACACATATACAATGAAAAGTTAGGAAGCACTACTGCTAATGCAGTGCAAGGCACTCTCTAGTAAGTCTGCCTGGAGTTGCAGCTCCAGCATGTTTCCAATTACTTTTTAGTAGTGAGAGGTGGTTTCTTTCAAGTGTGACATGTATTAGACTAAAGGGGGATACTCTAGCCTTCTTTTTGGTCGTTTTTAAGATACAGCATTATTAACATCAAAACTAGCATTACAGTCTATGCACAGACAAAAAGATTATGAAGCAATGTGTGAGACTCAGCAGATGCTGTCCATGCACAAATGTGATTACTCATCAGAAAGTCACACAGCTGTTTCACACCAGATCTCCTTTGTCTGCCTGTGTTTTCTCTCCAAATCACACACAAGTTTAACCATTCCCTCAGACACTTATTTGCAACTCTCTGAACACACTGAACCATTTCAAAGGCTAGCAGAACAGAGTGTAAGCATATCTTTCAGGTTAGTGAAGGAGACTTTGGGGAAAAATTATTATTTTAGATGTGCCACTGGAATCATGTGATACCAACATTCAGGGCTTCAATATGAATGCCTGTAGGATTGGAGACTGCTGAAAATGTAGGGTCTTGTTTAAATGGCACTTTTCACTGCCAAAGTATTTGTGATCAAAGTTTTACTCATGGAAAAATGAAAATGGCACTTTCTAGTAAGGGCACGTGGTTGAAATTTTGAAGATAGATGTCTGTATTCAGAGGAGTTCACTCAATCTGAGAGCATTTATTTTCTTCGTAACTGGAGCAAAGGGCCAGCATGTTTTCTTTTGTTAGTGACCTGTGGCTTGTTTGATCTAGTGAGAGTTTAGAGTAATCTTCATACTCTCAGAGTGAGGTTCAAACTGTATGATGGTAGCTGCACAACGATATAGGAATGACTCTCTGTCTATCTATCTATCTATCTGATAATAGGAGTAACTATACATGATGGAAGAGTTGTGCAGTAAGCGAGGCTGCAGAAGTGTGACAGGGAATTTGATGCCAAATTTAGTGCTTTGCTAACAGCCTCTTGGCTTGTACTTGGGAGAACTGAATCTCTGTGCGAGTTCTGCAGGCTTGCAGTAATGAAGAATAATTTGCAGATAATTCCAAAAGAAGCATTCTGTACATGTATATGGCTTCATCTCAGAGGAAGTGTGCTTATTCAATATAGTATTTAAATGTACATTTAAGCAAAAGTTTAACTATCAGTGAAATTATGGAGCTAAGAATATGCTTAATTCCTATCCTTAAAGCAAATCAGAGTGGAACATTTACTTGGGTAGGACTCTGCATTTTTAAACTGATTTTTAAACAGCATAGCAAGGAATCTAGGATATTAGTATTGAATAGCTATTGAAGGATACAACAGAAATTGAAATCTAAGTTCTGAGGCATAGCTTGAGTTAAACATAAAGGGGAAGAAGATTTTCAGTCCTACAGCTAACAACGCTGTGGAGTTCCCGGTTCAAGAAGAGGCCAAAAATCTGAAATAAGAAAAAAAGCAGTTGCAATATTTTTGTTGTTCACTTTTCTTTTGTTTTTTTTTTTTTAAGCCCTTAAAGTTAGTTTCCTTTGAAAGAAAGCAATATGAAATATGGTGTGTTTAGGTATTATTTTCTATTAAAAATGTTTCTTAAGCGTGGTAATGTTTCTTTAAAATGTGGTGCATAAATAATAAAATACATGATGACACAGTTTGGATATTATCTTGGCGCAAGCCTGGGGTGACTGAATCACTTATAGAGCTTGACACTTTTGAATAATGTGATCATTGCAAAAGTGTGCCAATGAAAGCTTCATACCTCACCAGTACGTGTGTACAAGTTTGTTAGTGTGTTCTGTTTCAGCACATTTTCTAGTACTGGATACCATGGATAACTAAGGCTGTGGCTTTTTTGACTTGGTATATACAATGTGAAAATAGTTTTGAAAGGAAAGATCTCAGTTTCTGTTCCATACCTGTGGTGACTTTTGGACCTACTCCTTGCCTTGAATCAGTTTTGATGCTCATCATATCAATAAAATGAAAGATAAGTACCGTGGCAAGAATAAAGGAAAACATTACTTTTTTTCTTCTTTGTTATTAAATTGAATCATCTTACCTTGGAACCTGATGAACAGGACAGCCATCAGTGGCTGCAAGGAGTTGTGTGTGCCAGGCCCTTTGCTGTCTGCTTTTGAATGCTTATAGGTGCATGCAACAGCTCTGGGGGAAACAGCAGAGGGGTGTAATGTGTTTCTCATGTGTTTGCTGTTGGAAGTGTTGCAAGGTGTACCTTAAGAACCTTAGCCGAGGTGTATGACCAAACAAGGCTGTTACCTACCATGTTTGTGTTCACTTCAGTGGTCATAAATGTCCAGTCCTGAAAGGTGCACCCTCGAATTAAGCTGGGCAGGGTGATCATGGCCAGTTGAAGTTTGTCCGGAGCTTATAGTCAACAGCAGAAAAGCATGAGGAGCATCACTATGGCGTTCTAAAGGTCTTGAACTCCTGTTGAGTAGATGAAGATTTGACTTCACATTGCTGGAAGTGTTAGAAAGCAGGAGGAAGCCATGATCAGAGGGAGGGAGGAGCAGTGGAGGAAAAGAGCAGAGAAATTCGTCTTCCTTTTAGCAGTGTTAAGATATTTATTCCAGTAGCATCCACAGAGTAGCATGTAGGATTCCTTTCTCCTTTCTTCCTGTGTCAAATACAACTGAAGAGGGGCCATTAATTTCAAAGAGAGTTTGTTTGGAGTGGAGTCCATTCTCAGTGCAAGTAGAGGGGTCGTTTTCCTTAAGAAGAAAAAAAGTAATTTACTGTTATTGTGGGTAGTGCAGCTCTTTAGAGATCCAAAGCATTATGAGATAATTGTGGTTATACCTATGCTCTTCTCTCTGTGGTGTTTGCCCTAATGTTTTCTGTTACTAGAAAACAGTACACACTCAAGGATGCAAGAACCTGTTTATCCCTTGCAAGCATGTCAATGCTTAGAGGAGAGAGCACTGTATGGGTACTACAGTCTGTTTATCAGAATCTTGTGATCCTGCAAAACACTCAAAAATCCTCCTGTATAGAGATAGCCCTGTGACATTTAGTACTTTTGTGCTTCAGATCAATGGGGGTAGATCCCATACAGCACCTCTCTCCGTGACATTATGTTTCAACCAAAGGAAGGAAATGTATAAGTTGTGTGGAAATTACTAGGGAAATAGAATTCCTATCTGCCTATGAGGAAAATGGTGGTTTTTTGTAAGGAACATCAAGTTGTTCATGGAAGAAGAACAAAAGATGAATGAAGCTCTTCAGAATAGCAGTTTCATTTTAGCCGGCTATATATATCCTGTTGTTTAGTATTTCATCTTTTTAACAATATCCCTTTTCCTCCACTTCTTGCAAATTATCTCTTTCAGTTTCTGCAGATAGTTCAAAATGTTCTGAGTGCTGAAATTGCCTGGATGCTGTGCCTGGAGGTTTCCAGTCCTGGGCTTCTCTCTGCCTTCCAGTAGCTATAAAAATTCATTTCCCTTCCCCCTCTCCTTCTCTGTTTGCAGGTTATCTTGACGAATCAGATTACCACATCCCTGAGCAGTGGCCCTGCAATCCAAGCAGACCTGGTGTCTCCAGCTGATGATTTGTCCCTGTCTGAAGGTAAGAGATCCCTTCTATCAGAACTGAAACTCTACACTGACACAAATCCACACTGTAATTTGCAGTCTTCTGTTGATATACAGGGGTCTGAGAGAGTTGAGTTAGCAAGTCTAACCTAAGAGTCTGGAAACAAAATTATTTTTCAGTTTCTCTGAAAATCCATTTATAAATAAAAAGTATGTGGACTAACTAGAAGGATCTGACTTTCTAGAGACTAAGAATGAGTATTTGAACCGTGTCAGTTCCTCAGTGTTGTACTCTCTTGCACGGCGTTTAGAGTATTATTTTCTCAGTGTTCTGAACCTGCTGCAAGAGTAGATACACAGGCTAGGCTTCAAATTTCACCTTATCTAATGATTATTAGTGATTCCAAAGAGAACCAACTGGTCACAAAAGAAGAAGAAAGCAAATACTCAGTCCTGTCACTTGAATTATGTTTGGTTTTCAAGTACAGTGCCTCAGACTGCATCTCTATGTTGTGTGAATGTAATAGGAGGGGTTTTGTGATACCATTTATTATTTTACATCTTCATGTTTCTTTTTTCTGCACAGAATTAGACACAGGCATCCTCTTTTTGGGTAGTAGTGAGGACTTAGTGTGCTAAGAAGAAAAGACAATTCTAAATCAAGGTTTGCAAAGTAATATAATAATTTCAGCTTTCCCCACTTGCAAAGAATAGTCAAGAGTACCCTCAGTCAGGGACAGATGCAAAAAAGTTTGTTATTTACAGTTCAGTTCATGCACAGACCCAGATGTATGATGTAAAGCAATGCTTCTCTTTCCTGCAAAGGCGTGATAATTGCATGTGGAATTTCCACTTTGCATAACTTGCATATTTCTGCTCATTCTCTCCTTGCTGCACTTTTTGATGGTTCTGGTCAGCTTATCTGTGTTCTGGTAGATCACAAACCCTCCTAAGCTTCTCTGACTTAACACAAGTACAACCCGGTGGCAAAACCAACAACAACAAAAAGTGGTTAAAACTGGCATTACTTCTGCAACTCATTTCAGTGGACAAGAGAAAGAGGTTGAAGATAGATTAAACAGAATGTCGAAGAGTAGGAAGTAACTTCAGTGCAATGCCTTAACACTGATCAATGGGTTTACTTCATCATTTTGTCAATAGGAGTTTGGCAAAGCATGGCCCATTAAATCATTTTGGAATTGTGCTTGTAGCTTTTGTTGGCTCTGTCCATTGCCAAAGTATCTCTGAAGTTCATTGCTTGGATATTGCTCCTTACCTCTGTCAGAAAGAGTTGATATTCAGTAACTAGATTTGGAAGAGGAAGGCATAGTTTTTCACCTGTATGATTTCTTGGCATGAAATTGTGCATCATCCCATTAAATGCTCTTGATCACAGTACTTGTGCTTTTCCTTGTCTTTGGAATTGCTGTCTATGAGCTTTCTCTGAAAAGAAAGGCACAACTGACTTTGAAGTGGAAGTAATAACAAAATACGTTTTCAGTAAAGCATATTTTCATCCTGTGCTTAAAATATTTGAAGATACTTTGGAAAAAAAGATGGACTAGTTTTAATCTTTCTAAATTTTCCAGCAAATATGAAAGACTCTTAGTACTGTATATAAGCCATAGTTCAATAGTATTCTGAAATCAAGACTATGCAAGAGATGGTATAAAGATTTTTGTAGCAGTTACAGGTTATTAATGAAGCTACCATGTTTTGCCTAAACTATCACCATTATTTTTCACCTTTTAACCCAAGAATGGGTTAAAATGTGTTGGCACTGTGTGTGTGTTGTATTCTTTTGTTGGTCTCATTTCTTATTTTCAATTAAGGATCTGAAGTGGTAAAATGGGCCAGCATCACAGTTGTTGAAAATGGAAACCTTTGTTTTGCGCAGGACAAGAACAGCACAGTCAGCAGCAGTGCAGGCTCCTTCAATAGTTCAAGTTTTATCAAGGGAAGTAGGGCTGATGAACTTCTTTCCTTCTCTCCCTTCCTTTTTCTTTTTACTAACATTAGCATGGCATTTGCGTGCTGTGTTGTGTAATGGAAGAACCCAGTGCATCTCCACACTACATGGTGTTCTTTCTGTGTCTTTCTTATTCATAAAATGGCTGCTTTGGGATTTCCATTTTTCATCACTTTTAACACATGCTGTCTACCTGTGAGAAGATGTGGAATTTCAGGCCCATTCAGCATTTGATTTCCATGTTTATCTTGCTATCAAAAGATACAGGTGTGGCCAGTGTGTTTTAGTGGAATTTTTAGCATTGAGGTGATGACCTGTCCTGAAAAAATTCCCTCTTTTAATGTATTTCTTGTTAGCTAATAAACAGCCTGAAAGTAGCAATACTTTATTATTCTGATAATTTGAGAATTCAGAATCCTGAATTAGTTAGTCTTCTAGGGTTAGAGTGATATTTATAATACTTACTACTCTTTTACAACTGTAGAATTTGCAGGAAAGAGTAGTTAGATGAGTAGCCAACGTGGACAAAGAGGATATGTTGCAGAGTCAGGGATAGGAGGCCAGATTTGTGACTGGGTTCTTACCTCATTGTTCCTTGTCACTCATCACCAGCTAAAGCTGAATTTGAACCAGTGACCTAGATGTGAAAGGACCCATAACACATTATTAGTCCTGTAAGCAACTCAGACCACTTGGTTTGTGTATGTTTAATATGTTGTTTTAATCCTATCTGAAATCAGTCCTGCCATTGTAAATGGTTTGCTAAAAGGGTAATCTTTCTCAGGAAGAGGCAGAAATGAAAATTTCAAAATGAATGTGCTGTTAGAATGAAGTAGAATGTAAGTGTCTTTTGTTTTTACTTCTAATTGTGCTTGAGAAGGCAATTGCTTGGGTTATGTGTTAGATTAGTTAAGAAACCAAGGAAGCTGTTCATCTGACAGAAAATTAATCTGATGAACAAGCTGAAAGGACATTGTCAAGCTGTTTCAGGCTTAGAGGTTGTCTTCTGTAAAATTGTAATCTAGCCCATGAGAACTTGTGTCCTAAAAATATGTTAGATTTTTATGAGAACAGTAATGGCTTTGTAAAAGCAGTGCTGGCTGTAAAATCCCACCACTTATATACCAGTGTAAGAATTCATTAACTGTTTGTTGGTAATTTTTGTAGGAAATGGTTATGTCCAGTTAGATTCCCAGATCTTTGCATACTTCTGCTTCAAGACAGATAAAAAAATGCTTAGTTTGTTACAAATTAAAGTGATGAATAAAACACAAGTTTCTCTACCATGGTCTGAGCTCTTGCATTCATTTAGCCTTTTTGTACTTGCCAGATTATCATCTGAAGGAGTTAAGACTAAAAGTCTTTTTCTCCAGCTCTAAAATTCTCAGACATGCAAGGCTTCTTCCCTGGGAAGCAAACTCAGTTTCTACTTGTAACTGCACCGTTCTTACATAGCCATCTCTCTAACCTTGTCATCAGAGGAGACAGACTGCAGGGTGATTGTGAACACTGCTGTTTCACTTTCATCCTTGCTTTATGAAATAGCCTCTGTTTAGCTCTTCCGATCAGAGACCGTTTCCAGTCTGAGAAGCCTTAAAGTTGTTTTAGATTGCAGGAGCGGTCAGAAAAGCCCAGGACTATCACAAGAACTAATGCTTTATTACTTAAACATAAAAAATACCTCTTACCAAATTAAATTTTTTTTTAATAATTAAAAAAGTAGATTTAAGCTGCATTAGGCTAAGTGAACACTTGAAGTGGAATGTAAATGTACACAGCAAACTATTTCGTATGACTGTTAATGGGTGTTTTTAATCAAGTTATCTGTAGCTGTGACTGTACTATTTTTGTTATTTTTTCAAAGTTTACATGAATAAATTTTACCTAATGTAAAAAGTCTTTAGAAATTAATTCTAAGCCTGTGTGTTAGAGCGCTAGCTGGACAGGGAAATTTGTGCATTTTATTTGTGTGCTGCTAAGAGATAGGACAGTATGACCTATTTAAGGTCCCTTCTAGTCCGCCAATGCCTATCCTGTTAATGTATCTGCCAGCTGCAAGCTCTAACTTCCTGTCACAGACATAAAAGCCAAACTCAATCTTTCCTGGAAAAAGCTCAAGAGTGTGTTGGTATGAACAAGAACACTATCCTCCTCACAGCATGCACAAATTGTCAAGCAAAAAAAAAAAAAAGAATGCTGTCTTGCGCTTCTTCAGTCTCAGCTAGTACTTTCAAATATTTGTTTGAAAAAGTCAGAATTATTTTGTGTTTAAAATTGTCTGTAAACTTATTCTAGCTCTGGGGAAACCAGTGTTCAGTCTTCTGCCATTTGTGCTCATCAATCGGTTTGTCATAGCATTGTATATTTTTAGTGCACAGCATGAGCAGTGAGTTTAGTCTGACCTTTTCAACTTTGTTGCTCTGATCTTGAATTCTTTTAAGCTGTTGAGCAGAAGTAGGCTTTCGTGTTGTGGAGACTGGAGAAAACTAAGCTACCATATTATCTCCCACCCACAGGATTTTCCTACTGTAGTTTAGGAACAGAAGATCTGAAGCTGGAATCTTTGGCTTCTCTTCCTTGCTTTGCCCTTGATCTCTTGTCAGATTGTGGTTAAATTGTTTTATTCTTCAAACCTGAATTTACCATTTTTTAAAATTTGGGGGTATATTTTTATTCTTCAGCTCTTTTTTGCTTTCTTAATATTTCACGATATTCCTAGGGGGAAAATAATGAGTTGACCTTCTCTTCACCTCAGAATAAGATCAGTTCTGTGGTTTATTACTTCTCTCTCTTCAAATCCCCTTTTTTCAGTCCTGGTGCCAAATGGAATGAAAACACTGAAGGAATTATCAAGTGAACTGAGGAGCCCCCAGAGATCAGAGGCTGTTGGTTGGTTTTAGTTGGTTTATTTATTGATTTATGTCTGCACTTAATGCTTAGGATTGGATCTGCAGGTGACTTAATTAAAATAAAAAAGAATATCCTGTGAGAACATAAACTTACCTGTTTTGCAGGAACCATGAGATTACAGATCAAGCAGCTGTTAAAAAAGTTTCTAAAACACTTCCTTCTTGTAGTTTTAAAGCTAATGCAGAATATGCAAGTCCTAGTGAAGTGCTCCGGCATGATATGAATTTAAATTGCATTGTAAAGTATCATAATACTTTGGCAGGTTTTAGGGCTTTAGTGTTCTAACTGAATGTTCTGTAAACTGATTGCAGCCTGGTTTACACCATTTTGCTTGAAAGAGAAGATAGTTTGTCTTGGATCACTGAAGCAGTATTGTTAGTTAATTATAATACATCTTTGGATAGGACAATTCATACATGAATATCCTATTGTTTTAATATGAATCCACTCTGAGTTTCTGAGATCCGAGTATTTGGAAATAGCTACTAAAGCCCTTTAATTTTGTTACCATTATGTAATCTGTATTGAGGTTACTGGTCATGGTGAAACTGAAGAACCATATGGCATGATATAAGTAAGGTCTTTTGACTGTGACCTCTCATGTGGATCCTGTGAAGCTTAGTGAATTTTAAATATGCAAAAAGGTAATGAGTACAGATAGCACTATTGGTATTGCCAGATTGTTTGGAAGATGAATTCCAACAATTGCACCATGTCTGTGCATACTGAAGACTAAATTTCCCAACTGAGACTAGTGTGCATGTGTGAATCCTAAAGACTAAAGCACATGCCTGAAAAGGTAAAGAGGGAGACCTTATCAATGTGTTTAAGTATCTGAAGGGAAGGTGTCAAGAGATGTAGCCAGGCTCTTCTTTGTGGTGCCAAGCAATAGGACAAGAGATAACAGGCAGAAACTGATGCACAGGAAGTTCCACCTGAATACACAGAAAAACTTCTTCACTGTGCAGGTGACTGTGCATTGGAATGGATTGCCCAGAGAGATTGTGGAGTCTCTCTCACTGGAGACATTCAAGAACTGTCTGAATGCAATCCTCTACAATGTGCTCTAGGATGACCCTGCTTGAGCAGGGTGGTTGGACCAGATGACTCATTGTTGTTTCTTCCAGCCTTGCCCATTCAGTGATTCTCTAATGGAGTTCTCTTCTTGGTTTACGGCTTATGAAGGTAGGAAAGTGCTACAATGTAGCTTTTGCCTTCTACAGTCATAATGATACAGGGAAGTGTAGGGAGATCTGCCTCTTTGATATGTTTGCTTTGATATGAATTACTACTTCTCACCTGATGATTTGGTTGCCACTCAGGCACAATGCCAGCTACCCTCCTGTGATGCGACAGGACAGCTCCATGAGCCACAGGATTCTGTCTCCAAGTCTGAACCTTGGGCATCTGTGACTTTGGTGTCAGAGTTGATAGAATTATTTAACTCACTGGTTCTCGTTCACATGAGCTCAGTAATGGAACAACTGGAATTGTTTCTTTCTAATCCTTTATTTTGGTGCTGGACTTCATGTCTCAACTGTCTTTTAAGAACCTGTTCCAGCATAGGCCCTGTAACCCTCTTCACCAGCTAACAGTGCTGTGGGAAGCCTTTTATTCCTTCAGTCTGTTCTGCCTTTGAGTTAATTCTCCAGTTTCAGACCTTCCATTAAAAAGATAGTTAGACCCACATACTCTCAAAGGTGAGAAAGGAGCTCATCTTCCTTAACGTGCTAGAAGTCAGCATAGTCCACTTACTTCACGACAGGTAAACAGTGGGCACCGAAAAAAGGGGTGACCTGGATAAAACTCATTAGTACATATTGGAGGGAAAAATGTGCCTCCTCAAAATACAATTTGATTCTGGTGCTTGCACTGTGTTTGTGTTTCTTGTAACTCTGTGCTCTTAACAGTAGTGGAGTCTGCCCCTCAGTGCTTCAGTGGAAAGAAAAAAGCCTTTCTGTTTGTTGAGAATGCCACAAGGAAGTGCACCATCATTACAAGACCTGGAACAAACGATATTAACCATTAGGGGAAATGATACTGTGATTGTTTCTGCATGAGGCAAGGTTGTGGTGGTATATGGAACAGTTAGATTTCACAATAAGAGTGGTCATGTTAGGCTGTACTAATTTTGATGCTATATTTCACTAAGTAGGAAGTAGCGACATAATAACATCTAGCCAAATTTTAACGGCTTTTTAATCAAAAGATAAGTCTCTCAGTAAAACAGTGTTACAGATGCTGTATGTGTGTATGGAAATTTCAAGCTGAATGACATACATAATCACTTGATATAGACTATGGAAAGGTTGAAAACTGTCAGCAGGAGCATTCAAAGACCTCTATATATCAGTTTAAGAGAATCTCCGTTCATCTTTTCCTAATTGCTGTGATGAGAGAATACAAAGTTTTACTACTTTGTTGTGGTTTCTTTCTGAAGACGTGATATGACTTACCATCATTAATCAACAATTTGTAATCCAAAAAGCCTTCAGGTACATTTGCTGGGAATCACTAATCTATATAATCAGAAGCACGATAACAGAAGTGATTACAGTCATAGTTGAGTGGTTAGGAGTTACCACCTCTCAACTGCTAAGTAACTTACCTCGGCTGAAAAGAAGTGTGGCCGAATACATGTTGCACCTTCCAATGCAAAGTAGAATGGGTTTGCATGAATCCTGCTGCACACACCAGTTTATTCCTGTGTTCCTGTAACTGCAGTAAGCTTGAGAGCATGCACAGGTCAGTCACTGAGTTTCAGTGGATGGCATATAGCTGTGAAGCATTGTAGCAAGGTTGCAGTTGGTCATTTCCTTATGCCGTAAAAATGTTTAAAAATAAGATGAACTCATACTTCAATGTGGGTGAATATAGAACTTTTTCTGTGGTCCTGCAAATCAGTAGTTTGAATCAGAAAAATGAGACGTGGTCTGGCTCCAAATTCCTTCTGCAGTCTAACATTGTATCCCAATGTTGGTGGAACTGCTCCAAACTAGTTTATCTTTCAAATTACATTGTAAAAAATTAATTCAAGGGTAGGAAAGAGCTAAACACCACTTGTCTCTGTGGACAGTGACCAATTAAATTCTGTCTTAACTCACTGTGGATTATCCTTAAATCTGTACAGAGGTTGAGGAAAAAATATTAAATAAGTATTTATAATATAATATTTAGCATTTAGTCCTGTTTCTTCTGGAGTTTTTGTGCCAGCAATGGATTTTTCTTCTCAGAGAACTGGGGAGGGATCAGAAGGATTTTGATTTATGGGAAGACATAACTGTGGGAATCATATTTGGCTTAGAGCATTACATGAAGCATATGGCTCACCTGCAGAATTTGAACCAGTTAGAAGTGACCCTAGATGCAGGTGTTATGCCAAAAGGGAAGGCCAGGGTGAAGGGACAGAGGATACTTTTAGAGACAGTTGCCTGTGTTCTAGTTGCAGTTCCAGCTGGGTTTCTTCTGGGTTTACTGCAGGATGTTTGAAAAACTGATTCCTTGGTAATCTCAGGCAATTTCTGTGATTGATGATTCTCCTTAATCGTAAAAAGAGCACATTGGTGTTTTTGCTTAATTTGTGCCTATTTCCTACTTTATTATGTAATAATGATTTATTGTCTTAAATTATGGAAGTTTTATAACCTCTTAACCTTTTTTAGAGGTTGAAGTTGGGCACTCTGGCATGTGAATGAACTTCTTCCCAGTGACAGTCTACTCCTAAAATGTTACATTCAAACCTAAACATAACATGATAATAAGAGACAGTATATAGTTGGTGCATTATCTCTTAATTTAATTAAAGTAGGGATCCTTGAGTATGAGCAGATTTTGCATGCTTCACAGAGACAAAATTAATCTAATCTGGATTCTGCTAGACTTCTCATAATATCAGCTATACAAAAAAAAATAAAATTAAGAAGTATTTGGAGAAAAGCAACCCAAGTGGTCACAATGCAGTACAGAAAGATGGGTGAAGAAATGGTAGAAAGAGGAAATGCCTGGACCTTAACTAAAGGAAGACTATGTTTATATTAATTTCTGCTCTCCTAAAACGTCCTGCTGTTGCTTGAGTCTCCCAGGTGAGCCACAGTCTACAAAAGATTCCTACATGAGCTGGTGCTTAACTAGTGCCAGAAAGGGTAGAAAAGACAATGGCTCAAGTATGAATAGCTGCGCTGTTAACAATGGAAAATTTGTCAGGAAAAGGCAAAACACATGCTACTACTGGCTAAGCAACCATGATTCTTTGGGAGTAATATGAACCAGTCTGATACCTGGCAGGGGAGTTGTTTCAGGCTGGCACACGTATATGTAAGGCAGTAGTTTGGGCATGTTTTAACTGAATATCCGGAAGTTGTTTCTGAGCGTGAAATCTGTTAGACCAGCTGTTCCCAAATGGTTTGTGTTTGTGCCCCTGTTTCTGGTGGTGAACTCACCCCAGCAAGCTTGCGACCCTAAATACTAACATAAACAATCACATCTCTGTCAGGCTTGTGACCCCACTCTGTGTGGCTGTGACCCTGCTGGAGGTTACAACCCCTGGTTTGGGAATTGTTGGGATAGACTGTCAAATAGTCCTGCTGGAGGAGCACTGATATGCCCCATCCAGGCCAGGATCATCACAACAAATGCCTTCAGATCTCACAGTAATTTGTAGGCCCCTGCCACCAGTTTGAGACTGTAGCTTATTAGAGCTGACATGTCACTTTGGTACATCAGGAACATCTTGGAGATCAAAAGGTCGTAGTCCTCCCACGCTGCCTCAGTCTTTCTTCATGGACTTGCCTCTTCGTCTTGCTTCTCCGTCAGCTGGCTGGCAGCGAGCCCCGGCGCCCTCGCGGCGTGGCTGATTCGGCCACGACTGCTGGATGTGTACCAGCTGCAACTTCTGCCCCAAGCCAGCCTTCCCAAAATGATTCTCCCTGAATACCCCTTGCCTTAATGAAGGGATTGATGTTTATCTCTCTCTGATGAAA